GGAAGAAGTCAAACTATCCCTATTTGCTGATGATATGATCCTATATATAGAACCCAAGAGACTCAGCAAAAATACTACTGGAAGTAACTGAGAGATTTAGCATAGTAGCAGGTTGCAAGATCAACATACAAAAACCAGTTAGATTCCTCTACACCAGCAACAAGATTACTAAAAAGGAAATAAGGAAATCAATATAGCTACCAAAGAAAAAAAAAAGTTGGGAATAAATCTTACTCCCTACCTGGTCAAAGAAAACTATAAAAGACTACTTCAAGAAACCGTAAGAGATCAATATAAATGGAAGAACATACAATGCTTGTAAATAGGAAGATTGAACACTGTGAAAATGTCAATTCTACCCAAAGCAATCTATACATTCAGTGCAATCCCCTTCCAGATCTCATCAACATTCTTTAAAGATATGGAAAAACTAATCACTCATCTTATATGGAAAGGAAAGAGACCTCAGATAAGCAAAGCATTACTGAAGAAGAAGAACAAAGTAGAAGGTCTCATACTCCTGGATCTCAAAATCTATAAAACTCAAAAAAAAAAAAACCCTCAAAATCTCAAAACTATACAGCTGCAGTAGTCCAAACAGCCTGGTACTGGTACGACAAACAAACACGTAGACCAGTGGAACAGAATTGAGAACCCAGAAATAGATCCATCTACCTATGGTCAGCTGAGTTTTGACAAAAGGCTGAAATCCATTACATGGGGAAGAGATAGATAGTCTCTTTAACAAATGGTGCTGACAAAACTGGATATCCATTTGTACTTCATACCATACACAAAAATTATCTCCAGATGGATCGAAGACTTAAATGTGAAACCTAAAACTATAAAGTTCATCAAAGAAAAAATAGAAGCAAATTTAGCGGCCCTCATTTATGGCATAAATAGATTGGTCAAGCATAACCCAAAAGGCACAAACAGCTGAAGATAAACTAGATGAATGGGACCTTCTAAAAATTTAAATTTTATGTGCTTCCAAAGACTTCTCCAAAAGAGTCAAAAGAGAACCTACAGATTGGGAAAAAAAAATATTTGGCAATGACATATCTGACAAGGGACTTATCTCTATAATTTATAGAAAACTCCAACCCCTCAACAACAAAAATAAAAAAAAAAAATCCAATTAAAAAATGGGCAGAAGACATGAATAGACACTTCACCAAAGAAGATATTCAGGTGGCCAACAAACACATGAAGAAATGTCACGATCATTACAGTGAGATACCATCATGCCCCAGCACTAGTAGCAAAGTTCAACAAGACAGAAAATAACAAATGCAAGCCAGGATGTGGAAAGCTTGGGACTCTGATATACACTGCTGGTGGGACTGTCAAATGATACAACAAAAGTGGTATGGTGATTCCTTAAAAAGTTGGCATTAGAAATACCATTTGACCCAGCAATCCCATTACTAGGTATATATCCTAAAGAAGAGAGAGCCAAGACTAGAACAGATATATGCATACCCATGTTTAACGCGGCACTATTTACAATTGCAAAAAGATGGAAACAACTTAGGTGCCCATCAACAGAAGAATGGATAACCAAACTATGGTACATACACACAATGGAATACTATGCAACCCTAAAGAATAACGTAGAATCTGCAAAACACCACATATGGTGGATGAACTTGGAGAACATTATTGCTGAGTGAAATAATTTAATCACAGAAGGATAAATATTGTATTAGTTCATTATTGTAAAAAGACAAGGAAAGGTTTATTGTATGGGAGGAAACTTTCTCTGTTGGTTACCAGGATGGGAAGGAAGGGGAGGGAAGACTGCAAAAAGAAAAAGAAGGAAAAAAAAAAAAAAGTCTCAGATAGAGCTGGGGAAAATGGGGAGAAAAAGAAAACGCAAAATCAAAAAGAAAAAAACAGGCTTACTGGTCCGATGAAGACTGTTAGAACCCCCAAGACTATGGCCCTTAGACACCCTTCATACTTAGAACTGAACCCTTATGACTCAATCGGCAGCCAAATAATAAACAGTAACATCAGGTAATGCACTCATTAGAACAATCAACAAATGAGATCAAGAGGATAGCATTTGTCCAGAGATAGAGCTAGGAAGGCAGGAGGGATGGGAAGAAGAATGAAGGGAAGGGGTGGGCACAGAGAGGAAGTGGGATGAATAATGTTACAGTGCAGGGATTGCAGTAAACATCACAAAACAGAGTATGTATGGATTGTTGAATGGAAAACCATTTTTTTCTGTA